TTATTAGATGAGAAGTTGTTAAAGGGGAATCAAGGTATAAGATATATTAGATTTGGTAAACCGATGGAATACCTCTAATAATTATATATTCAATAAATATTCTATTTGAAAAACTGTTTAGTCAAGGTATTAAATACATATTTAATACTGCAATTGTTCAATAAAATTCTCATATATTTTAAAACTTTTCAATTAAAGGAATACCACTGATACACTTATTATAATAGGTGAATAAGCTTTTTGATTATATTATACATTAAGTATAAAATATTTTTAAAATTTTCCAGAATGCCTATAACACACTTATAATAACTGTAAAGTGAGCTATTTAGTTAAATTATAATATAAAATATTTTTAAATATTTCAGTCAAGGGAGTACGTCTAATACACTTATAATAACTGTAGTATGAGGTTTTTAATTAAATAATAATATTAATTTTCAAGTTAGGGAATACCTCTAATACATCTTTGATGATAACTGTTAAAAAAGCTTTGCAGTTAAATGATATATATTAAGCATAGGAAAATTTGAGATATTTGCAAACTTTTGAGTTCAGGGACTACCCTCAATGCACCAATTTTCAAATTGCTGTGATTTTCGTTTACCTTGCGAAGGAACATTTCGTTGCACTGCTTGGCGGTGCTGCGCCAGTGGCGATGGCGGTACCGTGAGTTGCCCAGCTTGAGGGTGCCCTGCAGGTCGGCCGCCTCCTCGACGACACGCCGAATGCACTGATAGCGCAGCCGATTGCAGCGATGTATGGGCTGGAGGGCGACCAGGCCGTGCTCCGGCTCCGATTCGGCGCCCGAGCGCACCTGATCCTCGTCGTCGTCCACCCAGGCGCTGAGCACGCCCTCCACGAAATTGTACAGCATCTGAATGTTGGCCTGCATGGGCGCCGAGCCCGACGGCACCTGCTCCTTCTTGATGAGCTTCCGGTTCTGGCACACCTCGCGCAGCAGATTCTCGCCAAAGTGCACGGTCTTGTGACGGCGGCGACGCGAGTTGAGGGACGCAGCCGAGGCGGACTTCATTAGCTTGCCGTTGCCGTTGAGGACGTGATGAAGATGCCCGTTGGAGGACTGCAGCGGCACGGGCTCCAGCCAGCCCAGGTTTGCGGCCAGGCCGCAACTAGAGGCAGTCGAGTCGCCGCGCTGCAGCGTGTTCGGCTGCGAGTTGCTGCGATAGTGCTGCATGTGGCGTGTGGGCGAGGCAGGCGGCAGCTGCTGCTGCTGCTGCTGCTGGTCCAGGTCCAGTGGCGCCGGCTCAATGTCGTCCAGCGTCGCTGGCGGCTGGGCGAGCGAGGTGCGCAGCCGATTGAAGTCGGCGGCGCAGCGAGGCAGTGAGTTGCACTTGGCGGCATTGAGGCATTTGCGATTCTGGCAGCTGAGCAGCGGCGCGCAGGACCGGCACTCGTGGCAGATGACCAGACGGCGCTCCGGTACGGGCGCCGCAGCAACAGCAGTTGCCGGCGGCGGTGGTGGCGGCGGTGTCGCCGTCGTTGAGGGCGTTGTGGCATCCGAGCCGCCCGCTAGATGGGCGGGCACCGCATGCAGCTGCACCTGGGCCAGCTGCTGGTGCCGCGCCAGATTCACCGAGCTGGCCGACGAGGTCAGGCAGCGTCGACGCTGGCATTCCTGGTAGCGGCAGTGCGGATCTGTGCAGATGGGCAGCAGCGGGCAGGCGGGATCTGTGCAGGGCGATGGCGAACGGGAGCGTGGCGCACGCTCCGCACTCGAGGATTTGCGCTTGTGACCACCACCGCCTCTACCGACAGCGCCTCCGCCGCCGCCTCCTGCGCCGCTGCCGCTCGAGCGCTGAGCGGACATGTCCGTCACGGTGGCGGAGCGCTGGGTTTGATGGCGACGCGAACGCTCGCGCTTGGACTTGCCGGAGCTGATCGGGGCGGTGCTGCTGGTGGTTTCTTTGGGCGGCTGCGTTACCTTGGGCACATACTGATAGCGCTCCTTGTGCGGCTTGGCATACAGACGCTCCAGCCGCTCCAGCTGCGCGCTTGTGCTGGCCGACGGCGCGCCGCTGCTCACCACCTCGCTGGCCGAGTGGCGCAGCCGTCGCTCCCGGGAGCGCTCCTCGCGCCGCCGCTGCTCCTGGCACAGCTGCGTGTGGGTGGAGGCGACGGGAACATCATAGCCACTGGGCACCGTCGTCGCCGCCGTGGGCACCGGCTGCCCCGGCGGCGGCTGTTTGCCCAGCGACTGCAGCTTGTGCAGCGGATAGGCGATCCAGTCGAGCGTGGGCAGCTGCTGTTGCTGGCGGTGGTGCTGCTGCAGCTGCTCCTCGTCGCTGTGGCCCAGCGAGTGGCGTTTGCGCTGCAGCGTCGCATGCTCCGTGGCCTGATCCTCCTGTGAGTTGGAGCGCGGCGTTGCGCCGCTGCTGCCGTTGCGGCGATGATGCGAGCGACGGGACGACTTCCCGCCCACGCTGGACTGCATCTTGGTCAGCCACTCGACAATGTCCGTCTTCAGCAGCGATACTTCGCAGGGACCGGAGCTCTGGCGCGACAGCGGCTTCTTCAGCAGCTCCGCCAGGGCCTTCGCATAGGCCGAGCTGACGGGCTTCTCTGATGTGGACTGGCGCTCGCGCTGCCGCGGCAGGTGCTCCAGCAGCCAGTCGGGCAGCTCATCCTTGAGCACGGTGATCTCGCTGGGTCCGGAGGAGGTGCGTGCGGGCGCCTGCTGTGCAGCGCTGCTCTTCTGCAGCTTCAGCCATTCCATGGTCTCCTCGCGCACCTGCCCGCCCTCGGCGGAGCGTGCGGAGTGACGCTGCTGCGCCTTCCGGTCGAACCACTCCAGCTGTGGCTCCGGCGCCGCCTGGCGCAACGCGCTCTTCGGCATGGTCACCTCCTCGGCGCTCTTCTGGCGCCGCGGCGGCAGCTGCGGCTTCTGCTCGGGCAGCCGCACATAGTGCGGCTCGGTGAGCCGCACCGAGCCCTTGCGCCGTATGCAGCGCTGCTCCAGCGTATCCTCATCCCGGGCGCGCACACGTCGCGTGATCTCGAAGATGTCGCCATTGATCTGATGATAGAACTTCTCCACCTCGACGCCGCGTTCGAATTCCTCGCGCACGCTGTGCTTGCTGCTGGAGCCATGGCGGGCCGGTGGGCGTGGCGGTGCATCCTCCAGCGGTTTCTGCTTCTGCTGCTTCTCATCGCTGTCATCGGAACTGGCTGCAGTCAGCAGGGCTCCGGCACCGCCGCCGCCGCCATCGACGACCCAACTTATGGAGCGATCACCGCTCGTCTGCTGCTGGGGCTTCGGTGGCAACGGCTGCTGCTGTTGCTCTAGGTGCTGCTGCTGCTGCTGCTGTTGGAGGAGGCGGTCCAGGGAGCCGTGATGCGTTGTCTTGAGCGTTGCGCCCTCGCCGAGCGACTGCAGGCGGCATTGGGCATTGCAGATGCAGACGCCGGTGCGTTTCTTGCTGCCAAAGCGAAACAATTGGCTCGCCAGCTGCGAGACATTCTCACCGAGGCCCAGGCCGCTGCCGCTGCTGCCGCCGCTGCCGGCGCCCGCATCCCTTCCCGAGGCCGTTGTTGCTGATGTCAAACGTGCCACCGGATGTGAGACGGGTGTAATGTCGACGATCACGCAACAGCAGTGTAGCGAGAAGGATTTCTTGGGATCTGGGGCAACGCTGCTGTTGGTGCTATTGCTGCTGCCGCCGCCGCCGCCGCCTCCGCCGCCGCTGCCGCTGCCGCTGCCGATGCCGTCGTTGGCAACGTTGTTGCTGCTGTTGTTGCTGGTGCTGCTAGTGGTGGTAGTGGTGGTGGTGGTGGTGGTGGCGACAACGAGGCCACCGCTGCTGGCGGCGACTTCGTGCGATGTGCTGTTGCTGTTGTTGTTGTTATTCGGTTCGTTTGGCTGGCGCGAGTCGTGGCTCGTTTGATGTTGTTGTTGTTTCCGTTGTTGTTGTTGGAGTTGTTGTATTGGGGCGGCCAGAATGAATTACAGCAACGGCGGCAACCACAACAACAACAGCAACAGCGTCGGCAGCTATGGCTATATGGTAAATGGGGCGTGGCTAAGTAGCAGTTGCGCTGAAGCGGCCTTGTTTTTGTTGTTGTCGTGGTTGTTGTTGTTGTTGTTGTTGTTAAAAGTGCGTTTGTTGTTGCTCGGTGTATGTTGGTTTGCTTTGTTGTAGTTGTTGTAGTTGTTGTTGCTGCTGTTGCTGTTGTTGCTGCCATGCATATGGCTTCACAGCTACAGCAAGCATACACACACACACGAAACGAGGCGCGCACACACACGCGTGCTGCACATGTATGCGCGTGTATTTACTGTTATTTATTTAGTGATTAATTAAACTAAAAGCTCATTTATTTAATGCAGTCATTTATTAAACAGTCGTTTTACTTTTTTCGGCTATTAATTTATTTATGTATATATATGTGCGTGTGTGTGTGTGCATGTGTGCGAGTGTCTCACACATTTATCTATAATTAATTAATTTTACTTGTTGCGAAACGCTGAATGGCACCACGAAAAATTCGCTAAATTATACGAGTACTGAACACAATCGTTGTTGGATTTTATATTTGTTGTTGTTGTTGCTGTTGTTGTTGTTGTTGTTGTTGTTGCTGTTTTATTTGTTTGATAAACTGTTTATCTGTGCGTTGTTTCATGGGTATTTAGTTTCATTTATTTTTTGAATATACATATACATATATATATATATATATATATATACTTTTGGCATTTATTTACAATTAATTGAATTAAGCTTGCGCTTTAAATAGCTCTGATCTGTTGCTGTTGTTGTTGTTGTTGTTGTTGCTGTTGTTGTTTTATTTTCTAGTTTGTAGATTTCGTTAACTTTTCTAAATTTACTTATGCATGTGTGTAGGTATATTATTCGCTGTATTTTTGTTGTTATTTTGCTGTTCATTATTGGCATTTCGGCATTTAAATGCTCGCCCACATTTTGTGTTGCCTACTTTGCAGCGCAGGCATTTGGCTTGGTTTATTTGGATATTTTCTGTTGCCTACTTTTCTGCTGAGCGGCAGCCTTCAAGCTTTGCGTCTTCAGCTTTTCAGCTGCACATTTCAGGGTTAGGCTTTTGTGTGCATTTCGGTGCACACATATACATATACATTTATATATGTGAATATATATCATACATATATACGTATATATATATATATGTATTTTTTAGGCACAAGGACACACACAAAAAAAAAAAACTAAGTTCAGTCTGTCTCTTTATATGTGTCTGTGTATGTGTGTGTGTGTGTTTGCATCTGTGTCTGCTGCCTTTAATTAGCATATAAAAAGTCGTCCGCTCTAGAGCAAAAAAACAAAAATACAAAAATGAAGGAACCTCGTGTTGCATGTTTTGCAAGTTTTTAAATTTCAACTTGCAGCTGCCCCAAAAACAAAATACAAAAATATGAAAATAAAAGTAAATAGAATAAATTTTATTTCAGTTTCATTATTTATTTTTTCATATTTTGCTTTTGTGTTATTTTAAAGTTTTGCGGCACTAGGGCAAAGGGGCGCGGCTAGAGAGAGAAAAAAAAAAACTTTTTGCACAACTCTTCTTGGTGCGCAAATATTTTGTTTGTTATATTGCTAGCATAAATTTGCTGGCTATCTGCACACACGCACGTCGACAGAGAGAGAGGCGATAGAAAAAGTGAGTGAGAAAGAGTGAGAGTGAGAGGGAGAGAGAGAGGGAGAGGCTGCTGGTAGAGCAAGATGTGCATATATTTATAAGCGCATACATAAATACTTTTCTGGCCTGGCTGGCGAATGCATAAATTTTCCCTGCGTCATGTATGTGTGAGGCAGCAAGTCACATCCTGCCACGTCCACCCCGAGCGCGCTCGCACAACTCTTGACTTGTGTTTATGCAAAGCACAACATAGCAGTTGAAAAAGCAGCTGAAGCAGGAGCAAGAGCAGGAGCAGCAGCGGCAGCAGGAGTAGCAGCAGTAGAAATGCGCAAAGTTTTTCGGTCTGTTGCCAAAAGTTTGCTTGTTAAGTGAAAGGATTATATGATCCAGTATGTTTTTTTTTTTTTGTTATTATTGTTGTTGCTGCTGTTTCTTGAGGAGTAAAACTTGAAAAAATAACTTTTCCTATTTTTATGTTATGCCAGTTTGTTGTTACTATTGCATCAGCTAGCTACGCTGAAAATCTTGAGCAACGAGCCACAGCGCCTCGAGCTGTGTTGATAGTTTTTATAGCCTACTTTTTAGAATGGAGAAGTTGCACTGGAAAAACAACAAGCGAACAACAAGAAGATGCTGAGAGCTGCGAGTCGTGAATTAGTGCGTCTTAGTATCTATATATCTATATATAGACACACACACTCGCACACACACGCACGTGTTAAACTTTTGGCCAGCTTGTAGCCATAAGATGCGAGTTGTCGATAAGTTTAAGTTGCCATGTGTTTAGTTAAGATCCCGCGCCACACGTGTCAGTGGGAGTGAGAGCGAGAGCGAGAGCGAGAGAGGGAGTGTGGCAAGGCTCAACTAGTTGGCAACTCTTGGCTTGGCTTGGCTTGGGTTCGTCCCATGCTGAAATTGAAAAGGTGCTCGAGCGCATTTGTTTAGCAATTTTATCTTGATTCGCACAATAAAGTTAATTTCTGCGCGCAAAACTTTTAGTTCTTCCCAAGCCCTAAATGACATTTTTATATAACTGTATCAGAGTTTGCGTGTGTGTGTGTGTGTGAGCGTATGTTTGTCTTTGTGTCTGTGTTTGTATCTAGGAAACTGTAATAAATTATTTGGATTGTTTTAGAAACACAAAAGTTTTGGCAGTTTCCCTGGCGTATATTTGGCAATAAGCGAGAGTTAAGAGGGGTTTTTAAAATTGAATAACTAAATTATGCAGCTGCCATGGCGATAAGTAGTTCCGTAAAGATGCTTGATTAGGCCGCAAGAGTCTGACTGTTTACTTTAAAAAGTTCTATAAATATTGTATACTTTGTCCTCAAGCAATTAAAGAGATTCCATAAAGTTTTAGCGGCATACGAACTATATATAATAAATCATTTCTTCTTCTATTGGAGGCATAAATATTAAATTCTTAGCTATAACTTGTAAATTATACATGAGTTGTCTAGCACAAAGCATGAGAAGCGCACAATGCGAGCCTTTTAGCTGTATTATTTCACGCGCTGATAAGTATGCAACATTTATTAAAAGGAATTTCGCTGGAAGAGTTTTGGACAGCGCCACGTTTTCTTGTTGTTGTTGCTGAAGATATTCTCAGAAGCATATTAAATACAATTTTACGGGAGAAATCCTAAAAGTAGCTATGGCTTCGCCATCTTGTTAAAGTTCTACGGCCATGAAGTAGATTTCCTAGAACATGTTGTTTTTCTTCTTGCTGTTGCTGCTGCTGTTGTTGTTGTTGTTGACGTTGTTGTTGTTGTTGTTGTTGGCCAGCAATTTGAAATCAACGGACTGACTAGCTGCTGGGACAAATAAATTAGATTTCCGCATAATTCGATGGGCAGCCACAGGCACTAATGAGAGCAGCAGCAGGAGCAGCAGCAGGAGCAGCAGCAATCGAGTAACTATGCCTGGCCAACATGTGCGTGTGTCTCTGTGTGTGTGTGTGTGTGTGCGTGTGTTTGTCTTGTTGTTGCTGTGCATTTATTTTTAGTTAAATAAATTCTAATGAATTTATCAACATGATTTTAATGCATTTAATGTCAGAGTACAAGCACCCACACACACACACACACACACACAGACACATGGACACCCACGTGACGTGCAGTCATAAATATAAATACGTTTAATGTTAGTAAAAACAACTGTCAAGCAGCACAAATATGCCACACTAAATGTTGCCAGCTCTCGCTCTCACTGCCTTTAAGCCAGCTCCTGCTCTCGCTTTGTCTTCTTTACTACGTGTGTATGTGTGTGTGTGTGTGTGCGTGTGCTTTGGCAGGCATGACGTTGATAATATCCTTGCACATGTATGACGTTGCTGGCTGGTTATCCTTGCAGCTGCGGCTATTGCTGTTGCTGTCGTTACTGGCATCAACAACTGCAACACCAGGCGCTGCCTTTTCAATATGCCACAACGATTGTTGTTTATTGTTGTTGTTGCTGTCGGTGTTGCTGTTGTTGCTGTTGTTGTTGCGCCCATTTGCTTGTTGATATGTATTTTATTAGCCAGCCAGGGCAAGCAGAAAACTTTTTGTGCGTTGGCGATTTAAATTTTCGCTGCGCGTGCTAAAAATATAGGCGAACAGCAACAGCAACAGCAGCAGCAGTAACAACAACAATAACAGCTGCCTGACACAGAAGCAACAACAGTAACAACAACAACGCACGAATTCAGCGGAACGCAGCCTAGACTCAAAACTCAAGCCTCCCATATTTTGCTTTTCTTTTCTTTTTTTTTTTTTTTTTTTTTTTTTCTGTTGTTTTATATTTTGTTTCTCTCTTTCTTGCGCTGCCTTTGGCCGCTGTTAAATGTTTGTGTTGTTGCCTTTGTTGTTGTTGTTGGTATGTGTGTTAAGTGCGTTGGTATTTGCGAGTTTTTCTTTTATTTTCGCCAGTGCCCCGCACAGCCACACAGCTGTGTGGCATTTTGCAACACTTTTTGAGCTTAACTTGTTTCTTTCGCTTTATATACATATATTTTATTTATTATTTTTGTAGGTTTATTTTTATATATTTTTTTGTTTGTATATATTGGAGCAAAACTTTGCACTTGTTAATATGGTTTTAATGGCGATTGGCCGAAACATTTCTCATTTGATTTTCGCTCGCAAGCAGACAACACACGCACACACATACACAGCTCTCACACATACGCGCACTTTTGGGCGGCTGCGTTTTTGTTCCGATTTTACTTCATTTCTTTGCCTTTATTTTATTTTATTTTATTTGATTTTTTTCTGCTCATCTTTTTTTTGCTTTTCGCGTTTAACTTGTGTGCTAAATTATATAGCCTGCGTCGATTTCAGAGCGCTGCGTGTGTCTGTCTATCTGTCTGTCTGTCTCCGTGTCTGCCTTGCCGTCTGTCCGTCCATCCGTCCGACCGTCTGTCTCCTTTGCTGTGTTAGTGGTTCGCACATACATATCAGTGTGTCTCTGTGTCTGTGTGTGTGTGTGTCTCTGTGTGTGTTGCTGTTTTGTAATTTGATTTCTTTGCCGCCCGCCACCCGCTGCGGCAATAGCTGTAGCTATAGCTGTAGCTATGGCTATGGCTGCTGCTGCTGCTGCGGCTGCTGCTGACGCACTTTTCGCACTTGATGGCCGACCAAGTCGCACCGAGACATGTTTTCAATGCATTCGTTTGATTAGGGTTTATTTGATTTCATTTTAGTCGACTTGTCGATTGTTTGGTTTCTGTAATTTTCCTACGCTTTATTTTCGTTATTCGAGTGTTGGCTTCATTTTGGAACCAGGCTCTAGATTTGCTTGCTTTCTGTGTTTCGCCTCTCGCTACAAAAACGCAAGTGCATGAAGCGCGCAAACAGCTCGCGACGACGTTCCCGTTGTGACTGATTTTCACCACGCAGCGCAGGCAGCAACTAAGCGACGCTGACGCTGCCCACAGAGCCGACGACCAAAACCCGAACGCAGCGCGGCGAAAGCCGAGCGATAATTCGCCTTGCATTTGCAAGCATGACTCTCGGCTCGCTTTGGCTCTCTGTCAGGCAGGCCTCGTTAGCTTTCGTCAGATGGTTTGTTGTTGCTGTGCGGCTGCTGCTGCTGCCGTTGCTGTTGCTGGCGCTGCTGCTGCTGCTACTCCTCGCCCCATTTCGTATGTGTATCAGCTAAAGCTTATATACAGAAGAAAGCGGGTCGACGCTGGCTCGGCTGCTCTTGGCTCTTGGCTGTTGGCTGTTGGCCGCTGCTCAAATTGTTTATAACAGTTTCGCCACATTTCGTAAATTGTCGTTCGCTTCGCTTTTATTTACGTAATCAGCAGAATCACAAAAAGCTTTCGTAGCATCCGCCGCTCTCTTCAGCTGCTGGCGACAGTCACATGAGCGCGGTGAAAAGCTGCCCTCAAGCTTCGGCTCTGGCGCTCTTTGATTGAGCTGCGATTAAGAGAGCGGATGCTGTTTTAGTTAACAGCCCGTTTAGCCACATTATAAATCTCTGTGAGTGGGCCACTGCGTGCGTGCGTCTCTGGGTGAATGTGTGTGTGCCTCTGTGTGTGTGTGTGTCTTGTGCCCAAGCATAATTTACAAATCAGACGACGACAACGACAACAACAACGACGACAACGACGACGACGACGACGACAACGTTGTCGACGTCATCAAAACCAAAATGCAGTTATAATGCACTCGGGCAGCTCTCGGGGGCATGCAGCGCAACGGCAGCAGCGTAGGGCGAGGGGAGTGGCTGGAACTTGGGTGGCATGGAGCCAAAGCACGCTTGACAGCTGTCAGAGGGCGAGGCATAGCTGGAAATCTCAAAGGTGTTTAGTCAACATGAGCAACAACCACAACAGCAAAAGCAACAGCAAAAGCAGCAGCAGCAAGCAAGCTGAGGTTTTGGTGCGGTAGGTCGGCCGCAGCTAAAATTAAATTTATTCATTGTTGTCTTTGGAGCCAGCCAACAGAAGCTGCCGAAGCAGCAGCTGAAGCATCTGCTTTTGTTGTTGTTGTTGCTGTTGCTGCTGTTGCTGCTGCTGCTGTGTGCACTTAGGATTTGGCTCTAGGGCGTATTAAAGCTTTTACAAATCGTAAGCATAATTTATTTTGTTAGTCTCCGTTACAAGTTTTTGGCGGGGCAAAGTGCGACGATGGCCACCTAATAGAACTGTAGAGCAGCCACAGCTAAAAAAATAGTTGTGCACGGCGTGGCGTTTGTGTGGTCCTTGCAACTTGGTCGACTTTAGGAACAAGTCACGTGGCGGCCAAATGAGCTGCTCGACAAGCGTTTAGTTGGCTTCATGCTCATTCACAAAGTTATTAAGTGTATAAAAATGTTTACATTGGCCCTGCAGAGCATATGCAACTATTTGCGCCCATAAAAGTAGGCAACACTTTTGTGTTTAAGCGTGGCGGCATAAAAGCCAAGGCAACAGTTGCTGTCTATTAAGGCAACAACAATAATCAAGAGCAGCTTGACAGCAATTCCTGTTTTAAATACGCTATTCATTATATAGCCAAGCAGTTGTTTATATCGCCTTAATTACTCACAACATTCGGGCCACAAATGGCCCATAAAGTTAACACCTTTTAATTTTGGCAACGCCCCCACAATGTGCATAGGTAATCACAGTCAGTCGCTCAAGTAAGTCACATGGTGTGCCACGCCCACACACACGTACACGCACACGCACACACACGCATAGCAAACACAAGAGAATTATAACACATACGCAGCATTGCCACCCAGTTTCACTTACAGCACATAAATATTTCTGCTTGCAATAAGAAAATAGCTCGAAATATGTTAATGAGATGGGCGCGAGGCAAGTGCGAATATTATTCATACATATCCAAGGCTTACGGCTTGACGTGGGAAATGCAGCTAAGGGCAAAGGCAGCGAGGATGCCAGAGGGAGGCAGCCGCGCGGATAGTGAGAGGGAAGGGGGAGGGCAATGCAAACGGCAAACAGCATCAGCATCAGCAGCATCAGCAGCAGCTGCGAAAATTGTATGTGTGAAAACTGTGAAAGCAGGCAGTAAGCTGCAGAAAATCTACATAAGTCGGTCAAGGACACTGCAGAAGGCTGCGGCTGCCACCAAATTGCCTTTAAATATAATTATTTTCCTTTATGCGTCAGTGACAGGCAAATACATGTGCCAGTGTATGTGTGTGTGTGTGTGTGTGTGTGTGTGTGCGTATGTGTGTATATGTATTGGTAAGCTGCTGCCTGCCAACGACATTTACATTTGTAATACACACACACACACTCACACACACACAGATAGAGGCGCACGGAGAGGCATACGCAAAATAACTGTACAGAGAGGCCAAAGGCAACGACATCGGCAGCGGCATCATCCATCGCATTTCGCTTGTAGATACTCAGCCAGATAAGAAAAGACACGTTTATGACGTCAGTGGAGCATTTTAGGCCCACATTTTTTGCAGCCTGACACAAAATGTTGCCACTGATGCTGCTGCTGCTGCTGTTCGTGCTGCTGCTGCTCTAGCGCGCGCAAATATCATCGGCAACACCAACTACAGCTACAACAACAACAACAAACAATAATAACAAAAAGAGTGAGCGACTCACTTTCTCTTTGAATAGAAGAGAGCGCTCAAAGCTTTTGCGCTCTTCGCTACTTGTGTCACATCAACAACAGCTTAGCTTAGCCTATCGCTCTCTCTCTCTCACTCGCGCTCGCTCTCTTGGGCTCTCTCATCTATAACCATAAAATCAAATCACAACAATAACCATAACCATATAGCAAAGATTTAATAACTGTGATTGGAATTTGAAAAATGAATTTTTCCTCTGTTTGTAATTTTTTCTGTTTTTTTTTTTTTTTTTTTTTTTGTTATATACCAAAATTGTTTGTCTTGTTGTTTTTGTTTTTCTTCTCCTTTTGGAATGGCCTTCAGTCAGCCTCTCTCCACCCCGTCCCCCCCTGCCCCCACTGCCCCTACTCTACGACTATTCCCTTATTTCTTTTTCGTGTCATTTCGTTTCGTTTTGGTTTTAGTTTATTTACGTGGATTATTTAATGGATTTCGCCGTTGCGGATTTGGCATTGAATTTCCTGTGCGTAGCGAAAACCTTTGTAAATATTGTCTATGTAATTGGAGCGCTCAGTTTTTATAGTGGTAAAGATGGAACTATTATTATTATTACTATTATTATGTGCTCTCATGCTAGATCTAGCAAATGAGAATATTTCCCAAATTAATGTGAACAATTTGACTTGGCCCAAAAGGCATCAATTCATATTGAAGTTGATGCCACAAAGGCAGCTCCAGCAAATAAAAAGTTATTAAACCTTGCAGCGCACAGCCGGAGCTATTTATATTGCATGAGATGCAAAAAGCACACAAATATTTCTCATTTCGACAATTTCTGTGGTTCGATTGAGGAATTTTCATAAACTTGCAGCTGAAAAAAGTGCATAAAGCTTTCCCCAAGTATTATTTATATATTTGTTTGGCGCAGCCATCAAAATCAGTAACCGCAAAAAAAAAAAAAAAAAAAAAAAAGTAAAATCGCAAAATCGAAATCGGTATTTAACAATTTTTTATAATTTCCGGTGCGGCAGCGTCCGCTTTCATTTCCGCTGTCGCTTTGCAACAATCGCAGCAGCGGCAGGAGCAGCAGCTGCGGCAGCAGGAGTCGGAGAGGGATAAGCAGCGGCAGCTACAACAAGGATAACATGACAAGATTTATTTGCGCGCCATAATTATAAACTGTCCTGTTGGGCGCTACAATTCGAGGTCCTTTTGTGTGCCAGTTCATTTTGTTTACTTTGCCGCACGCCGCACGCCGCACGGTAAATTTGCCAGGCGCAGCATACAACAACAAGAAAGAAGAAAGAGAAATGTGGAAAATAAAAAATGAAGCCGAATGCCGCTGGCAGCGCTGCGCCTCGGATTGCCCCACGGACACGCAATTGGTGGCAGTTAGCGCTCGCGTCCGATGCGGTGCGCAATTTCTAGGCCAAAGCTCTGTCGGCCAGCGCGAGGGAGGTGTCGGGCTGGGGTGTGGGGTGTGGGGTGTGGGGCGTGGGGCGTGGCGTGGCAGGCGTGTGCAGGCCGCAAGCAAAGTGCTGGCCCCGAGCCTTTGACAGCTCAACATCAGCGGCAGCCGTGGCGACGTCTGTCCAACTCGTGGCAAATCTGCGAGTATGTCTCTCTGTGCGTGTGTGTGTGTGTGTGTCTGTGTCTGTGTGTATGTAGCGGGTGCAAAAGCTTCTGTGGCTGTTGGCGGCATTAAACACAGCCGTCGTAGAAGTGTTTTGAAATCCAATTACCAGCGCAAATTTAATTTGTTGCTGCACTCGAAAAAGTTGCCAACTTGCCGCTGTCCCCATGCCCCCTCCCCATGCCTCACACTGCCCGCTCGCTGATAGGCTATGAAAATTGTTTAGCTGCAATAAAGGGCCAGCCCAAAGGGGAGACAGTTTGGGCACGCGGGCGCTGCTTGCTGCCTGTCGAGTGGATATCAGGCACAGCTTTTGCGCGTGTTTTCCTTCTGCAGCCGGAGGCGTTGTTTCTGCTGCTGCTGCTGCTGTTGTTGTTGCCCCGCTTGGTGGCATCATCAAGTGGTCAGAGTGCAAAGTTTAATTTGAAAAATACTTTTTTTTTTTTATTATTATTATTATTATTATATTGTTCTCTGTGTATGTGTGTGTGTGTGCCAGTTGCTGTTGTTCTGGTTTTTTTATTTTAACTTTTCTCTCTCTCTGCTTTCAGTTGTTGCTGAGGGTTGTAGGTGTTGCTGTTAGGTGTTGAATTATGAGTAAAGTTCATGAGCTGCGCGGCGTCTAACAATTTATAAGCCAAATAAAGCCATGTAATGGCCATTGGCGGTTCGGGGCCAGGCACCTAAGCAGACGTGCTCTCCTCTCTATATATATGTATGTATGCCTGTGTGTGTGTGTGTGTGTGTGTGTGTGGTGAGTAACGTTTGCGCAGAGGGCGTTTGCTTTGCTTCAGTTTGCTTAGCACTTAAGAGCAATTTTTTTTTTTGTGTTTTGTTTTTTTTCTTTCTTCTTCTTCGTTTTGGCGGGCCTTTGCACTTGTTGTTGGCTGTGGTGGGCGAGTTAACAGCTGTTAGACTCGCAATAACATTCCGATTTAACAGAATTACTTCAGCTAATTGCCCAGAAATCTGTTGCAATGATTGAGCATTAAATATTTAAGTAACTGGGCAGCTGACTGAGCTGACTGAGCTGACTGAGCAGACTGAGCTGAGCTGACTGGGCATGACTTGCACTTTGCATTTGTATATACTTAATATGCTACTCTCTTTTCGCTTTTCGTTTTTGTGGCTCCACTGAGTGGTAATCAAGAAAATGCAAAAACCTTTTTTCCAGTTGGGTTCGTTTTAAGCAGATTTAAAAGCTTTGCAATATTCATAAAGCCTGCGCCCAACAACATTTCCATTGTTGTCGATTATTGTGCCATGTTTGCCATTTGCCTATTTGCGTTAGTTTCCTCTCTAGCATGTGTGTGTGTGTGCGTGTACGTGTGAGTGTGTGTAGCTGTTGCTGTAACTGTATCTGGCGGCCAGCTGCTGCCATCTAATTGGTGGCCGCTGCTGTGTAAAACTGTGCACTTGCCCGTGAAGGGAAAGGCAGAGGCAGAGGCAGAGGCAAAGGCAACGGCAAAGGCAAATAACAATTGCCTTCGCATTGAGGACTCCCGCAGCGTTTTGACCAGCACGAAACGCCTATCGTAACATGAGACTGGCAACACGCGATGCTGGCTCCGTTCGCCCGCCTCCCCCAGCCATGGACCATAATTTGAGAGCGCGCAGTGAATGCGTCGAGTCTCCTCGAGTCTCGAGTCTCGAGTCTAGTCAAGGCGAGACGAGGCGAGGCGAATCGAGTCGACGCTTAAGCACAATGCCCTACTAAATTACAGTTAATGTTTATTTCTTGGCCCCAATGACAGTCGGAGGCCAGTGAGCATCCAGTTGAGCAGTCGAGCATTCGCCCGGTTGCCCGGTTTGCTCGGTCGCCCAGTCAAGCCCTGGGCTTTGTTTATTCTTCTAATCTGTCTGCCTTTTTATGCGCTACACCTACCGTCCCATCAGCTCTCTCCCTCTCTTTCACTCCATCTCTCTCCCTACTGCATTTCGATTGTATCTTTGACTGCTGGTGTTGCTGGGTTTTAGTTTTGGTCGTTTGTCCATTGCGATTGCCTTTGCCTTTGTTTTATGCCTCGCTTTCTATGGCTTTGGCTCTGGACAATGCTTTATTGAGTTATGGCTTGCATGCGGATATCCGCAAGCAGAGCGAGCCACACACAAAGAGCGAGAGATAGAGGCAAAGGAGAGAGTGAGAGAGAGAGTGAGGGCACGCTGATACAGTCACACTTATATAACTAACCAACTTTGTTATTGGCTTTGAGGTGTCCTGGCCAGGAGACAGTCATAAATTAGCAACATTTTCAGTGGCCTCGTAAATTCCAAATATTGCACAAATTCAATACGATGCATATATAAATGCACACACACAAATATAAATATAAATATAAATACTTACCAATGCAGCACGAACTGTGCAAGAAAACAAAAGCAAATTGCATCGAGACTTACCTGAAAGAGAGAAAGAAAGATAGAGGGCATGAATAAATTGATTATTCAGTTATTTACAAATACATAGTTGATGTCTATCTATGATTTATTGCAAATTCATTTCAAATTTATGTAAAATCCCACCACAAGCAAAAGCCTCGAGTTTCTTTTGGCTGCCCCAAAAAGTAGGCAACAAAAAATGCAAGGAATGCACTACAAAGGCATATGGAGTTGCAAAGGAAATTAAAGGGAATGCGTGAAATGTGTTTGCCCACTAAATATTTGTAGATGAATTCATAGAATGCAAGAAATATATCTCAAGTACCAGCAAATAATTATTTATTAAAAAACAAGTTGTTTATTAATGACATTTGCTTAAATTGTTTAACTACAGTTTTGCCACATCTATTTCAAACTCTAAGACAACAGAGTCCACTGCTTTTTAAAGCTAACTGTAGACTATTCAGTTCTCTCAGTCTCTCATCTAGCTTTAGTCCAGGCAGAAAGTTTGCAACTTTCAGTTTGTGTCATTGTGCGATTTCAAGTTAAAATGCAATTTGACTTTGTTATTTGATTTACCAAATTACTATTGTTTCTTTATTTCTCTCTGTTTTGTTTATTTTTTTTGTTTTTTTTTTTTTGTTTTTGTTTTAGTAAACTGCCTTTGTGTTTTATGGCTGCAATTCTCTTTGTTTTAGGTGGGCGCCCAATTAAAAAACTCATTTGGTGCATAAAGTTGAAAACTTAATCTCAAGCAGCTGAAGGAGCACACAGCATTTCAATTCAAGTTAATTTCCAACTTTGGACTAATCTGCGCTTGTCATTGCCTTAATTGTTGACCAACAACAACAACAACAGCAGCAGCAGCAGCAACAAGGGCAACAACAACAACAATTGGCAGTCAGGTTTTATGCTTTGCTTTTCCGGCTGTACTGCCAATTTAGTTGATGGCCTTACGCCGCTTTTGGCCCTGGCCATAAACACCCGACTGCAGACGAGTCAAACGCGATGCTGCGCCTCAATTTAAACATTGCCTTATAAGAGCTAAAAATGTAGTTGTTACATTTAATTATATTCATATCTTTTGGCTGCCAAACGTGCCACGTAATCCGACAACTTACAAAGCGGATGGGCCGTAGCGTAGTGTCGTTTCCTTGCCCCTCCCTCCCACTCCCACTCTCCCTCTCTCGCTCTAGCTCTCTCTCTCTCTCGCTCTATCTCAGTCGCTATATCTGTGCTGCCGCCTTTGTGGGCGTGTCGCGTAAACTTTCGGTTCTTGCAAACTGTGCGAAATGTACAAAAATGCTGAACACATGCCAATTACCAAGCGCCGAAAGTGCCGAGGTGCCAAAATGAGGACTAAAGGTAAAAGCCTGCCACGCCTCTCGCTGCCGGCTCCACGCCTCAGGCCCGTACGGTTGCCAGGCAGAAGCTTAAAATGCGCGAATGCCAAACGACATTTACATTTACATACAAAATGCAAAAGGAACTCAACACGCGCCCTTTACAACTGTATTGCTGGGGCGGGGCAGGCGCAGGAGGCGGGCGTAAAGGGGTGCCACGTAGAGGGGGCTATGGTCGTCATATTTGGGTGCGCTCATGTGAGGAGCACGGATTCGCATTCGCATTCGGTTGAGGCTGCGGAATCATATATGGCTTGCCTCTGACTTTTGCTGATGCTTGTTGTTATTGTTGTTATAGTTGTTGTTGTTGTTGTTGTTGTTGTAGTTGTGTGTTCGCACATTTTATTATTTTTTATGACTTTTGACAAAGGTGCGAAAAAATACACATGTGAAATGCACAGCTGACGACGTCAAGATGCCCTATAATTAGCTGGTTAATAGCGGAAGGCTGAGAGGAGAGAGAGAGAGAGAGAGAGAGCGCTTGAAAACTAACAGAGACAGACATTGGGAATACTTGAGCTTTATGCTAATATCTTGAGCAGAGAAGACTCTGCCATAATTCGAAATGGTTTGACTTTGAAATGCTGACCTGTTGACCTCTTTGCTCATAGCTACAGCTTAATAAGCCCTGCGCAGGGTATTCTCCAAATAGGCAAGTGAAAAGTTGGCAATGGGTTTCTGTTTTCACGTTTTTTTTTGTTCTTTAGGGGTTTCGGGTTAGGGTAAGACTTACACGCCGTTACGCGGCAGCTCGCTGGCGGAAGGAAGAAATCAAGGAGCGGCGAGTCAAAAGGCGGAACGAAACAAGCCAGCCATTTGCCATTTGCGTCTTTCTTTTTGGCTTCCTGCCGGGCCTCGGCCCACGCCCCACACCTTTGCTTTCACGCTAACTTGATTTGCAACTCGTACGCGCACACGTCTCATGTGTGAGAGGCTGGGGCTGGGAAAAATGTGAGGAAAATAATGTTTTTTAGCCCCACAGTCAGTTTGTTCAATTGTTAAAATGTTTGTCATTGATGTTTTGGGCTTTTGTTACATTCAAGTATATTCCTTCGTATTCGTTCTGTATTTTCTTTTCTTTATACTTTTTTTCGGTTTTTTATTTTTCTCGCTTTTTGTCATGTAAGATTGTCATCTCGAATTGAGTTTTCCATTCGGAGGCACAGTTTCAGTTTTGACTTAAGTGTTTTGCCAGCTTACTTTAACTGCCTGTCGTTGCTCTTGTCTGCCACTCAGTTGGCAATTCTCCCCTCTCGGGCCCCCTCCCCCTTCTCGCTCATCATTCTCACGCTTTTTCTCGTTTCAGTTGGCAATCGAATAAATGAATGCGCCTGCCTACTGTGTTGCCACATTCCATGCGATGCCATTCCTCGACTGGCTGTCGCGTCTGTCATACGCCTGGTTTGGCAGTCTCGTATTCAGCAATTCCATTCATTTGCAGAGGGCTGGGCTCTTTTGTAAAGGCTTTATTATGACTATATTTGTATAATTTGCTTAAAGGCACCTCGCTGCTAGCCATCTGATTAAAGAACAGTCACGATTGCCCTGGCCCACCCAGAGTTCGTGACGATTCCATCTTTGTTTTTGGTTAAAGGCATGAAAGTTTTGTTTGCACTTCAACTCCGCCAACTCTCTGAAACTCTCTCAACTCAACGGCGATGTGAGTGAAAAGTTGTGTAAGCATTTTAAAATCTACCACAAGAGAGTTGCCAAATGGTACTGAAGCTTGCGGGTGAGTGGGGAGTGGGAAAAGGGGAGTGGAGATGAAATGGAATGGGGTAAATGCTCTCACTATTTGCCAAGTAATTCAACTGATTCCAGAAATTATATCTTAAAGCTGTTTTGACTTGACGACGACGCAACTGGGAATTAAGCTCCAGCTTAGAATATATGCAAATTTGATGGCTTCTTCTTCTTCTTCTGCTTCTTTTTTTTGTTGTTGTTGTTTTATACAGCTCAATGCATAAGCAGTTACCAAAAGTTTTGCCTAAGGTTTTGTATTACAAAAGGTGCTTACAAAGGTTGAACTGGATTCATGATTGCTGAGCTGACGCAGGCAAAAACGAAACGAAAATTGTGATTTCATTAGAAATTCAGAAACATGATCACAAGACCAATTTATAGTTGTCATAACTAGCTTATGTTCCTGCCAACTGCTCTGCATCAGAAATTTGCGTATTTTGCTGTAACAGGAAACCAAAATTAAATTCGACTCAAAGTTATTTCTTGCTATTTTTGCGAGCTGAGCAGCCTTTGCACATGAAATTCTAGTTTAGACACAGGAAAATTAAGTAAACGCAATTCGCAGCGTACCTTAAGCCAAAAACTTTTAGCCAAGTTCATTTTGAGCAAAAAGACAGAGAGTGAGAGGGAGAGGGAGAGTGAGAGGTGGAGAGAGAGCGAAAACACATTAAAAGCAGTCCACATATGCAACCTACAGGCAATATATTACCCAACTCGCAGTTTTTATCCAATATTGCAGCCTATGTGGCAGAGCGGCAAAAAAAAATGGTAAGGGGGAGCGGTAGGTAGGGGGTGGCATCTCTCACTGCGCCCTCATACATCACAGGACTTACAGTTGGCCGCAAAACTTTGCTGGCCATAAACTGCATTGAAACCGAATCCCAAAAAATGCTGCCAACTTGAAGAGGCCGCAATGAAATGCATTGCAATGCGCTTAAGTTTCATAAGCCTGCGGCCAAAAGCAAACCAGCAAATCTGTGACACACACACACACACACACACACACACAGGGCGAGAGACAGGCTGAGATGACCGCAATGCCACGCCCAGCCCGGCACAGAATGGCTCATGTGTGTTACATACGGCTGTCATTTCGATAAAAAAAAAAGAAAGGCGAAAAAAAAACGAAAAGAAAATAAGAGTATAAGTGAGAGCGGGGTGGGAATTATCGAAAAGTGAATTCAAGGCAATGCTGCATTGCCAGCACGAACTTAAGAGTGGGGGAGGGCGGGGCTGGTGCAATGTGGGTGCTGTGCACTTTTAGCAATTCATATTGCCAAAGGAGAGGAAGCTGCTGCAAAAGGATATTAGCAAAAGAGGAAGGGGGGACAAGTCAAGTTGGTAACTGAAATACGTGTAATAGTTGCACAAAACTCTCGTTTGGTCAGCACTAAAAAACACACCCACACACTCATACACACTCACTCACAAAAGAGGGAAAAAGTGTAGTAGGAAAAACTGTTATTTTTGTGTCAAATACTTGGACAACTGTCCACGTACACGTCGAACTTTCGCTGACAGCTGCCACGAGACAGCGACCCCGCCCACTCACGCCTTAATGCACTCGCTGCAAATTAATATTGCCGTTTTTGCACTCCCCATCTCTGTCGCACTCACTCGCTTGCTCAGTGGAAAAAGGAATAGACTGAAAGAGGAATAAGACCGATAGTTGCACAAGTTGAGATGAGAAACTGCTCGGAAACTTTGTGCGCGTCTGCTGAGCGCTGTTGTTGTTGTTGTTGTTGTTGCTGGTGTTGCAGTTGCTCTAGTTGTTGTTGCAGGACAGAAATTAGTTTCTTCACTTATTGAAATGTCA